CAATTACATCAGTCGGTGCATCGGTGCCTCTTGACACAGGTTAATTCAGGTCAAGACGCATCATATCTATAACATCCTATCTTTGTGAAGTGGGATTTTCTGCGGTTACAGCGACCAAAACAAAGCTACGGAGCAGACTGGACATCAGGAGCACACTTCATGTGTCATTGTCTCCGTTTACGCTTAGATGGGACCGGTTTGTTTCGGAGAAACAAGCTAAGGGTTCCCACTAATTCAACATAACGGTGAGTTTTATTTTTATGCTGTTTGTATTTGATTTTATGCCAGTCCTTTCATTTTATTTGATCGTATTTACCCCCACACTTTAAAGGGCGTGAAAATATTATCTGACATATAAGCGGTCCGTGGTGCAAAAAAGGTTGGGGACCGCTGGTATAGAGGATGATCTTTTATTTCCAGGTGGATCATCTAAATAAGTGGTCCTTGTAATTGTCATTCATTCTGGTGATATGTTTACGTAAGGAAGTCCTACGTGCTTAGCTATCTTTTTCTGTGCATGCACTCCTCAGGCATATATCTGTGGTGAGCTACGGTTTCAGACAGTCATTGAAGCTCACCATTCTCACCGCTGTTCTTTGAAAATAGCCGAGGGTCGTAACAGAAAAAGTGTCTACAAAGTGTATGAGAAAAGAAAGACCTCAAAAGAGGCAGATATATCCCAGAATGCTTTGCTCCTCACAAAGCATTATGAGATTTGCGTTCACAGCTGCCCACTGTCGCTACCTGACAGTGGCGACTAGTAACAAGGATGGCGCAGACACCCGGTAGAGAAGTTGGAGTTATTTGACAAACGGAGCAAAAAAGTAGTGATCATCTGTCAGAGCGGTAAGTTAACTCAGTTTGCTATAAAGTCCACTATATAGTACCCACTCTATATAGGGATTAACGGGTTAGGATGGATGTTCGGACACAGTAAGCTTGTATGAGCTATGAGAACAACAACTTTTAAACAGAGCGTCCACGATGAGAAATGGGCTAGTGCATGCTCTTGCACGTGCATTTGTTTTTAAGAAGAAAAGGTGGGTCTTTTAAAAACTTTGTGAAAATCCTCCACAATAATACCTTTGAAGGGTTAAACTCATGCCTACCGTATTTGATTTGTGCGATGTCCCCTACCACAATGTCAGCCACAGGTAGCTGTATGACCTGGCTTCCACGGACCACCTGAAACTTCTGCTCTTGCTCAATGCGGCTCTGGAGTCCACGGAACTGTTTCTCCTTTGACCAGTCGTTAAAGGCTGTCACAATAACTACACAAACTACGGACAGGAGGATGGCAGCACCCTCGATCCAGCCTGCATCTGCTTCGCCTTCATCCTCCACTCCACCGGCTGCTGCACCACATGCTGGAAAACAAAAACCCAGAAGACATGAGCGTCATGTGTATCTTAAGCAATCCCTTTTTATACAAGAAAATAGATAGTGACATTAAAACATTAGAAGATAACCTCAAAAATATAGAATAGAGATTGTTGAGAACAGGTCAGAACTCTGCTTATCTAGTAGTATCGGATATTGTTTGTTTCTACAATACCTGACAGAAATACACTTGACCAAAACCTAACCTAAAAGACAAGTTTGAAATTATACAAACTCATGTGGCTTAAATAGCCCCATGAGAAAAATCTTCTCCTTATCTCTTAATTTATATGCCCTATTTCAAACAAGGCTTTGCATTCTACTGGCTGCACAGTGGTAGATGATGGTGTACTGGGCAATCAAGGCCTATTTCCAGTACTCTTTGTGCTTCCTAATGTAATGCTCCTGGAGCCATTTCACTCATGACCAAAAGAATCCACTACACTGGAATTCCATTTTTTTCTTAAAATGTTAGTTCATTCTGTCTAACTTGATCACTGCACTGCAATCAGGTACTAATTGAAAGTATGCTCTCTTACTGCACACAGTAAGAGAGCATACTTTAAATAAGTATTTGAGCATTAATAGGAAAGGCTGCTTCATGTGCCTTCAAACAAAATTAAAGAAAATACTTTATTTGGAAGAAGTTTCAAAATTTTATCAAAACAAACATATAGATATAGGAAACTTTTTAAAAAGAGCCTGCATATTCACAATCTCTCATGCGTAGGGGGTCATTAAGGCTGCTAGAGAGCAGGATAACAGCAGCTGATCTATGGGTCCAGTGAGCAATGGGCATACATTAAAATTACCCTGTTTTATCTTTTTGAGACTTCTGTTTCCATCGGCCATGAAGTATGGTAGATATAGAAATGCCCTAAGCTAAGATGAGGACTAACTTACTTCAGGGAATACACATAGAAATCTTCCTGTTTTATTAATCCTATGATTATTAATTACAAGATCCTAAAGTTTACACAGTTAACTAATATTTGCTGTAATTAGTATGAAGTGAATTCATTGTACTTATCTTCTTTTAAATCAAATACTTTTTTTTGCACAGATACAGCATTAGACATTGAATTTTGTGCATTGTTTGAAGGCCAAATGTATTATTTTAATCATAAATTGGTTTTCAATAACTGTAAGTAGACAACCAAAATAATAATACATAAGACATACATAAGAGCTTGACCAGATGAGTCTAAGTGTATAAATCTATGTTATGCGTTTCTCTTAGTGAACAATTTCAATAATATTGTAATTCACTGAATATGGCTGAATATCCTGTGAAATTACTGCATCCTCCATACAGCTGCGAAGAATAATCATCAAGCAGACAAAGTGATGATGGGTCCACAAGAACTAGCTTTAATAGCCCTTTGTCTGACATTTATTGCACAAGGAAAAAGCCCATCAGACTCAAGGAAACTACATATGTCATTGCAGAATCTGTTAAGTCGCTCTTCCAGCATAGTGTTTACTGAAGCCAATAAATCAATTCAGTTCTTGCTTCTTTCCCTTTGTCATTAATGTGTACAACTGTTGGGGATATCTGTGGATATCTATCAGGCCCCTCTTCCATCAAATAGTAAAACCTTGTTTAAAGCTGACAGCTTCCACACATGGAGTGTAGTGCTAACTCTTTTCCTAAAATACATAATTAATGACCTCTCACAGCCAGAAAATAATAAAAGAAAAGAAAAATTTGAATGCTCTTATATCTTCTACTATGAAATTCTGTTGATCCTGAAAGTAAATCAGAAAACAATATTTAACAAAAACTAAGCATCAGCAATTGAAAGCTTTAGAAAAACTGAAACCAGTTTTAAAACTTAGGTTGAATCATCTCTAGTTTTGATTTGATGATCCAAGTTATTTTCTTTTAACTTTCTTTTAAACATAGCAGACATTGGTCAAGATTTTGGAAAGCCAGTGATTTTCTCGTACCATAAAATGTCCTTCTTTCATTCATTTCTAACCACTGTGCAAATTTAAAACACTGTATTTTAGTAGATTTTGTTTTCAGATATTATATTAAAATAAATCCAACAAGATAGTTAGGTCTAAATCAAAACTTTTTTTTTTTATCACAAATTGAAACCATTAGTTTAAAACATATTAAACCATTAGTTTAAAAACCTCAGTAGCTATCAAAAGCACTATTACTTTCACTATTAGATTCCAATTATATAAATATTTAATTCATTTATTTATCCATTTCTAATAATAGGGGGCTAACAGTGTATTAAAAAGGTATACAATTATTTAATTAATAAGAATAAAAGTTTTGCACAAGAAACTGGCAGTTTTCTTTCATTGATGGAAGTACTTTACAGTTTCTGCATTTTGTGTTCTGTTTCAACCATTGTACATAAAATACTCATTTTAAAAACATAAAAGGGAAGTTACATGGGCATCCCACGTTTTAAAGGTAAAGGAGCACTGATTGCATTTAACATGGATATGAAATGTAAAGCCTTCAGAACTTTTATGCAGTGTGAAGCAATGAAGTTTTGAATGCATAAGTCTGTGTGTTGAAACAATAATAAAGTTCAAATAAACAAATGTATCCAATATTGTTGTTTTTTAGCTATGTAGTTTTTAACAATCATTTACCATGGCTTGGTTGATACTATTTCCAATCATACTAAAAAGCAAAAAAAAAAAATAAATAACCTTACATACAACAACATCTGAAATAATAACAGATTTCTTTCCTGGCATATTCAGCTCAATCTAAGCTTTTAAAACCCTTAAAATGATGACTGAACCCTTGGGCAGGGAAAAGGAAGTCCATTACTGCGATAAAGAAAGAGGTGATGACTGATCCCGCTGACTCAGCAACTCTTTACCGTCTCTGTCTTCATTTCCTGTTTCATGGCTCACAGGGTTGATGTATAGGTCCTGGGAGCTCAAGGTTATTCCTTCATTCAAAACTTCATTAACCTTTCCCTTACCTATCTAATGCACACTTAGTACAGCCATAGTGCATCAAGATGCTTCCAGTCTTGCACAAAAATTAGCAATGTGATTTATGAGTAACTTGACCTCTAAGGATAGGTGACAAACATATTAACCTTAACCCAACTTGCAGATTATAAAGGTGGGTTTACACAAATTTGGGACACCAGCTATGATTTTTGTTGGCCATTGGTTAAATCACCTGCAACACTGAAATGATCTCAACTACTGATGTAAGTTTGGCTGATTTAAAACAGCTGGGAGCAAACGTCACAGGAGGAGATGCCACAGCAGCTGGGAAACTCACCCTCTCCACTGGTCTGCCCAGGAGGGTGGTAAAAGGAGAGGCCCAGGGAGATAAGAGCAGCGATCTCCAGAATGATAAGGGTGACATCCTGCAGTGCTTCCCATACCAGCTGTAGAAAGGTTTTTGGCTTTTTTGGAGGTATCAGGTTTTTACCAAATATTTCTCTTCTTTTATCCAGGTCAGTTTGAACACCTGCAAGACCTGAAAGAGAAACACAAAGAATGTTAGTATAAGAAGGACATTCAGACTATATAAGTTAATCAGCGCAAAGAGTTTTAATTTTCTATTAAATGAAATAAAATATTTATTTATACACAGAATAAATATCTTATTGTGCTGCTGAAAAGAAACTGTGTGATACCTTTTAAAGTAAGCAAGTTGATCAGCAGATAAATGTGCACTAAGTAATTTCTCTTCATTTTCAAGCTTTATTTTTTGCTGTCTTTATCATCCTACCCCACCCCCACCACAGATAAACAGACTCTAGTTATCTGATTGATTCATTATGGGACACACATTTCCGCTTTCCCTATACAAGGGTCAATATACTTTGACCTTATCCACCTCCTCATACACCTTAATCTATTGTTTATAATATCCTTAGCACTTTAATATGAAGCACATCATGCTGTTAAGTCACAATTTACATTTAACGAATTGTTCAAGGATTTTATATTTCAAATAAGCATATATTGGATCAAAAGTTTACCTTTGCCAAAATAAATGAATGGCTTTTGCAGCTCAAAATTTACAGATAATGTATCTTAAGTTTGAATTTGCATTTTTACCAGTGTTGCTTGTTTTTACGAGATATCAATACAGCTATCAACCTGTATGCACTTCAACACAGTGCTGTTATTTATCTATTTATAAGTTACTTTTCTTTTTAAACATATTTTAATGAGATGTCTTAACTGTTCTTGAATTTATTTAGATAGGGTCATAATGAGTAGCATTTGGCCTACTTCATCTTGTCAGACATGTTCTGATCAAATGATTTCCTCTTTCCATATTTTAGGCAGTAAGTAGGTAAAACTAAATTTACAATCATGTAATTATTAACAGTAAAAGAGAGGAGCAATTTATTAGTTGACATATTACTAGGATGTATGGGTACGTTTTTCTCTTTGTAAAATAATTTATCATCTAAAAAAAAACCCTAGGCATTTATTTTGGTAAACTCAAGGCATTTATTTTGGTTTTAGAAACTCTAACAGGAAAATACTTTTTCGTTACAGATGCTGGTGGTTTGATACAAGAAAGTGCCAAATTCTTCCTTCTACAACAGTAAAAGTTATGACGGGTGTCATAACTTGAGTAAACCTCAGTAGCAATCCAGAAATGAACCATGGGAGACACAAAGAAATATAGTCCAGCAGATGATTACATTTTTCAGCTTTTATAAATACCTCCTAAAACACGGAAGAGTACAAACTGTTCTCTAAGTGACTCGGATATATTTACTAAGCAGTGCAATGTGAGAGTTAAAACATAAGTTTGGGAGAACCCAGATCAGATAACATAACAAAAAGTATATATCATTTATATAAAGGATAACTCAAGGCAAAATTACCAAATGATAACAAATTATTCTTAATCTTAAAGTTGCTGATAAATCAAACCAACCAATAGCATCTTTGGTTGAACATGAACATTGATACTATGCTGCCAACCTTCTCACATATCCTTAAATGGCCAAGCTCCATCTTATATCAGAGATCTGATTGTTCCTTACATTCCTAACAGCACTTTGCTCTCACTTTGCTCTTGTGCACTCACTCAGTTCTTTTCAGTGTTTGGGATCCCTAAAGTAATACAGTCTGACCAAGGCACTAATTTTTCATCACATTTGTTCAGTCAGGTTTTGAAACAGCTACGGGTGCGACACAATAAAGCAACAGCGTATCATCCAGAGAGTCAGGGGGGCGTTAGAACGTTTCTGCTAAGCCTTTTACAGGCTTAAAGCACTGCTTGTTTCCGTGTCCCCCCAGTTTTTGTTGCGACCAATCGAGCCAGGTTGTAACACTCATAGTAACTTTGCTTCGTCTGTTCCTGTTTGGCTGTGACACCATCCTGGAGAGAAATATCAGCTGTGCTGCTGCCATCAGCACCTTTGTTTATAGATGTTGGAGATCGGCCTGTTTTCCAGTGTAGTCCTGTTTTTCTGACTGTGACTGGCTGGATGAGCTCTCTTCATCCTCTGACATGGGAGTTGGCTCGGAGCTCATTTGCCTGGCTGTGTGTTTCCTTGACGGGGAAGCCTTTTACAGTTGCTTTTTGTATCTCTGCTTCTGTCTCCTTGAACCCCAGTCGGCCTCGGCAGATGGCCGCTCACAATGAGCCTGGTTCTGCTGGAGGTTTCTTCCTCTCCACTGTCACTACAAGCATGCTTAGTGCGAGGGATTGCATTCGAGTCAATGAGTCGATGCTGATTTGTGCATCTCTATGAAATATGACACCTGATTAATTGCTAAGGAAAAAATTGTCTTTANTGTCTTTAGAGTTCATGTAAAAAAGATGTTTGAGTGTAAATTAAGAAAGTATATTCTGTGACTACCTAAGAAATATAGTCATTAATAACTGAAGATATAATGACTAATGTTTTTCTTTTAATGACTAAATGAACAAGAGCTAGAATTTAAAATTGTAAAGTAGTTGCAGTGTCTAAGTAGACTCCATTTTTTTCTCATGTAATCATACTTGTGGACAAAGTTAAATAAAAAATGTTTTAAATACAATGATTGTATACATTTATTACGGATTTCAATAAAGTAATAAGATTTTATAAATGTAGATTTAGGAAAACCAATTTGAGCTCCCTATCACACTGGAAAAAATCGAAATCTAGATAAGTCTTTTTTTCTTAAAATAAGTGCATCTGTTCTTGGATTGGGGAGGTAAAAGAGACATTTTGCCAATGGAAGAAGACAATTTACACTTAAAATAAGAAAACACAGTCGCATTGTCTTATTTCATGTGCATATCATCTAATTGTCTTATTTTAAGAGTAAAAATACTCATTCCATTGGCAAACTATCTCATTTACCTACTCAAATTAAGGGTAAATACACTTTTTTACTTATTTCTAGATAATTTTTCCAGTGCAGCATTTAACATAATTAATTTTGCTTTGCAGCTCTAAATCATTGTCTTGCTGCTGATAGAACAAAAGCATGGCTTCTTCCACTCAACAACACGTTAGCGCTGTCTTATGTCATGCAAAGTGCGTCACAGGGTCTCCCAGGATTGGCCCGGGATCGCACCTGATAACGTCGCTTCTACTTGACAACCCCTTATATCTGAGTGCTTTCGACAGGTGTGATGAATTGTTAAGGTTATAAAAACTAACTTGAGAAGCATTAAAGAAAGAAATGTTATCAGAGCTCATAGCAGACAGAGGAATATTTTCCACCTACAAAATTGTACTGTGGTTACAAATAAATATATTGCTATTCATGCTATAAAAAGCATAATTAACTATAAGCTTTTAATAATTACTAAGAGAAGACCTGGCACGCTCTTCCGTTGATCTCCGCTGAAACCTTCTTTACATAACTTGTAAACATCTCTGTGTGAAAGCATGAGTGTGTGTGGGTGTGGGTGTGTGTGTATCCGGGTCTGTGAGTCGTGACCAGATACTTGGACTATTTTGTGTGTAAGAGAGCTCTGCCAGCATGCCTGTGGTTTCTTACACCATCACATGATAACATCAGAGCACATATATTTGCCAATCACTGTCGGCCAGATACACAAGTAAAACACACGGAAACACACATGGATAGGAGAAACGTCATTCTTGTGAATGTCCATCCTCAGGTGCACTTAGTGATTACACATATTAGTATGCAGCTTTTACAAAGCCCCTCTCATCTCTTAGCTTATTCTAGTGGACATCAAATACAACTTTTGGTTATATTTCTTGCTTTTCGTTCGACATTCACCAACAATTATGCTCCGGAGGTAAACATAACAGAAAGATATACTGGTACTAAACAATACTTAACTGATTATGTTTTATCAATGAGAGGAATAACTTTGAAATCAAATTAATACACACTGACATAATTATCTGTTTAACTTGATAATTAATCCATTGTATGTCTTAATCAGTAGTCATTAAACCTAATGTGTTATTGAAGGTTGGCGTTTCTCACGAAAAGAAATACCATATACTGTACGAGAGCAGAAAAAAAAAATGTAATCAGAGCCGCGACTTATTATTAGTTTACTAATCTATTAACCTGTTGATTAGATTTTTTGATCGATGCATTTATAATCAGAATGCATAATGTTTAGGATTACATAGTTAAAACCAGATTATGCTAAAAGCTACTTGACGAATTCAGTGAAAACATATTGAAAGATAAAAATAGTTTTTTCATCTTGAGTGCAAAACATTTATAATTTTTTTTACAATTTTGGTTAATTATTGCTCTGAGTAGGTTATTTTTTTAGCTAATTGCATCGTTTAGTGTCTCGATACTCCAGTTAACAATTAACTGATTGGTAAATTAGTTAATGAATATTTTCATTAATGGAATAATCATGCTTAATGTAATTCTTTGTTTCAGCCCTAGCTGTAAAATGACAGTAGAGCCAATAAAGCATCAAACTGTCCTAGAAAGTCTCCATAACTGTTAAACTTTCTTGAGTCAGCAACACAATTTTCCATATTTGAGATATTAAAGATTACTAACAATAAACGTTTACATTCTAACTAGCATTGAAACGAATTGAAAGAAATTCATATATATTTTCCCTCAAGTTTGGGACAACGTTACACAGGGATGAGATTGTGACAGATTGACATGTTACTATGTTTTAATCCTATACTTTGATTTTGAATTTAATTTCCGCTCTTCTTCTGATTCCTTCTTTGTGATGTTTGGCTTTGTTAAATTGTCTCATAATGCTTAATTCAAATGATATGGTGTGTTTCCTAAAACTATTGGGATAAAACAAAAAACAACTACTAGCAGGGTATTGATGGCTATAAAAAATATTAATTGCTATAGAAAATAGCTAAAATACATACAGTATTATGGGAGTACTATAGGGGGAGACACTGACTGATATGTTCTTAATATAATATACCAACACTTACAGTATATAGCACCCTCTTGCCTTAACAAGTGACCTCATTCTTTATTTGGACAGATTTAACAAGGTTTGAAATATTTGTTAAAGATTCTGCTCCACAT